GCAGTTTGTCTAGAATTTTTGCCAGTAGCCCACCAGTCTAGTTTCTCCTAACAAGTGGACCAGAGAACTAGTTTGAGGTTCGTCTATGAGTATCCGTAGTCGAGGAACTTCGCCGTAGTTTCACGCGAAATTAGTGAAACTCGTTTGCGCCACAAGACAGGTAGTTTCGTGGCTGCGTCGTTATAACGACGAACTCGAACTGTCTGTACGTGTACACGCGCGTGTGCCTAGAGGAAACTAAAGAAGAGTAGCGAACCAGTTGGACGAAGAATCGTTTCCGATGGACCAACATCCGCCGCTTTCTACTTACCGTTAACGAGACGCGTTTCCGAATGGTTTAAACGAAAGGATCTTCGAGATATCGCGATCTCGCCGAATCGAGAAGTCCTTTCTCTCCGTTGCTTCGTCTGCTGTCTCGTGAAACTGCAGACCTATGCATCGAGTGGACACGATTTCTGAACGTACCCGTCGAGGATAAATGCAGTTTCGAGGCGCGGGCCGTGTCCGACGCTGGGAACCTCGGAGATTTATTATCCAATTTATGTCGCGATCAAGACCGATGCCGCTTGAAAATAGAACGATCCACGAACTGAACGAAATTAACGCTTTGCCGCTGTCGAACACGAACGATATTGAATATTTCGGCGCGATTTAAGAGCGCTGCTAAGAGCCGGTTACGCGAAGATGAATGCTTTCTTCCGGGGGATTAATTGAGAGAATTTCATTATTCTTTGGAAATTATTAAATCCTGAAACTTTATCGGCGAATTCGAACAATTTTAACTGTGTTCAATAAGTCAAGTTTTATAACACTCATTATCCACTTGAAATTAAAATTTCATGTAATTAATATTCTAATTTTTATCTAATTTGTTAAATCAAAATTTTACTACATTTTTTTTTAATATTAAAATGAACAATGTATCATCGAGGAAAGCGTAATGCAACTGAAAAACACAAACGTAATCGAGTATCCCATCTAATCCGTGCTGATCAGAGGAGTTACGTGGTTCACGATGTTCCAGAAACGGTGCCAATGCTCGCGAATAATTGCTCCCAATCCTCGGCAATTGGGAAAGGTACGTAAGCTGACGCGAAGACACACACCGACACGCTCCACGAGTCTTTCCCGGCTAACTGGAACAGATATTCTATTACCGTCGATTCCAGGGCTTCCCTCGACACATTTGAAACCCAATCCAATTTCATATCGAGTACACCACCAACTGTGTTCCTGGTGCGTTCGAACACCTCAGGGTCGCTGACCCTTTTTCCCCGATTTCTTTCGCTGTTTCTATGTTTCGCGAGCAATTTGTTCGACATTCTCTAAATTAGATTTTCACAGATGTCAACTAAAAACGATACTATTGGTGGCTGAGTTTGAAAAGGAATTTGTTAATCTTAAAGTTGTCAAATAAAAATTTCAACGAACTAAGTACACGAATTAATTTCATTAAATTCTAATAACACCGTCCGATTTCTTTCTCTCAAACCCTAATCGTTCTGACAATTGCGCGAACTGCTCTATTCAGTCCTCGTTTCCGTTTCGAAGACAAGCCGATAAATGTTCGAGGAAAAACAATCTGCAGAGTTTCTTCGGCGAACAACTCATTCGATTGTCAGGAAAAGTTTAAAACGACTTGTTCGCGCGTCGACCGACGCCCTTTCGTCTTAACTGCTTCGCTGTTTCGAGGACTTCGAGTCCTTCGAGACAGGACCCTCTCGCCCGGCACGACGAGCGACATAATCACGACAATTATTGTTATAAGTTCTTCGCGCGTCGACGTCCAAGTTTCGCGCGCAATATTGTCGCCGACTTTCCCGTTAATCCTCCGCCTTGTGCAAACGTGCGTAAATTTTCGTGCCAACTCCGTCGCGACAGATCTCCAGAGAATTTTTACGAAATCACCGCGAAAGCGCGTCCACCAGAGACGCAATTTTATACGGGAAAGTTTTTCGGAATCGTCGCAATTAACGAAACTCGCCTCGAACAACGGCTAAACTCTACCCCGAATGAGATTCAACTTTCCGACAAATTTTTATCGAATTCTTCCTGGATTTCTTTTTTACCTTGATGGTATCTTTGAGCAAGGCAGAGATAGAAATACGGCAATTACTGCGAACGGTTGTTGGAAAAAAATTTGTTGCAGTAGATGCGAACGTAATAGTCAGATGTTGAAGTTTCTTTTTTCAACTACCTTTCCCGTTTTAATATCTATATTTATTTTCCTTCTTTTCCGGTTGTTGCTTGTAGAAGAATATTGCATCGGAAACAGATAAAATTCGTTTCAAACGAACTTTATTAAATAAACGTACGAATAAATATTTATTAACGGATGAATACTTTCGAGAATTTTTCTGGTTTTTTCATTTTATCTTTCAAGGATTGCAAGCAGAAACGTTCGGACGAATTTCTATTAAATTTCAGCCATTAGGAAATTAGCTTGGCTACGTGGTCGCGCATAATAATTTTGCATTAATCTTTTATGCGGTGTACCAGCGAAGTCGAGTCGCGAATGGTCTATTTAAATAATTATATCATTCCACTAACAGTTGGTTACATGTGGAGCGAAATAGCGGACAAAATTGTTCTCCGAACGAGGTTTTTGCTCTTTGTCAGAGGGAGAAGATCGTTTTTCTTTAATTTTCCAAAGCTTCCTGTTCGTCCACGGCTTCTCGAGAATCCGATCTCCTTAGGGAAAGCTCTCACCGTTACCTTCGTCATTTTTCCCGTCGTCCGTGCAATTAATAATTCAATTTCATTAGCCCTGCGATCGGGCTATCCGATAAGTAAAGCCTCGTCGAGCGTACAAGCGATAAATCGATTAAAAGTGTTTGATATTTGAGAGCGACTTTAACCCCCGTCGTAACTGTAATCGTCTTTGAAAATATTGTCTTCAGCTGACGAATCATTTCGGACATTAATTTTTAATGTTCAAAATTCAATAAATGATAAAAGCTACCACAGCCGAGTGCATAAATTTTATTGAAAAAATATTGCAGTCTATTCGCGTAAAAAGAAAATATTTTCTCGAATAACATAAGCATCTATGGAACGCGTCAGACGTTAAAAAAGGAACTAATTAAACTCGCATATCAGCGTATTGGCATCTACAGCATAAACGCAGTGTGAATTTATCGACAGAAATCGCAGGGACTGTTCGTCAATCATGAGGCAGAATAACAGCAATTATGCCCTCTGAATCATCGACGATCACTGTCATTCAGCGGTTAATCAAGATTCAGCCAAGGAAATATCCAATCATCCTTCACTCGATATCTTCGGTTCGCATCGTTCACGTGTACGTAATTAACTCTGTCGTGTCTTAACGCACCAACGATTACGATAAAACAACGTCGACGATTGTTCGTAAATGAAAAGAAAAGGAAATGTTTCGCGTCGAAACGTAGTAATTGTCAAATCCTCGTTAACTCGATTCGCAAATTCACGGTGACAGGTGGGCGCGATAATTCGATTCTCGGACTGCTATATAATCGAAATCCTGCTCGACACTGTCAGACCATGAATTCTTGGGTATAGGTCAGGCTGACATTATCCATGGCAATCAACGACACTCTGCGCATCATGGTTTCGCAAACGTTTACGAGCTGCTGTAAAATTGATTTCGCAAATGCTTGTGGAAATACGTGTCTCCGCACAGAAGCGCACTGCGACGATATTAAAGATCACGCGAATAGAATTCCAAGTAAGTATGAAAAAGAATATTAAAGTAGAGAAAGAAGGAAATCAGATAAAAGGGTAGTAGAAACACAGCTGAACTATGAAACTGGAAATTAATTAAATATGAATTGCCCAAAATCATATATATATAAGAATTTTAATTATTTTTAAATCCCTCTTTTTTAAAAATTGAATAGAAAAATGTAAGTGTTCATTTATAGCTTGAAAATGAAAAATAATCAAATAATTGAGTTTTATGGAGGATTTCAGATTTTGTATATAAATATTATTATTTCAACTTCTGCAATGATGTTTACGTTATTAGACAAAATAACAAACAAAATTAGACAGAATTTAACCCCTTAACATGAATACTGAAAAAGCAAACACGACACATCCCATTCTTAGAATGGATAGCTGTAGCTAGTACATAATAATTTAATTAATACCTCTTCAGCACTTTAATTAGTATATCTCTCCATTTTGTTTAAATATTAACAGATCGCTATGTCTGTGATTAAGTTCAACAAGTCTAAATATGGCAAACTAAATTATTTAATAAACTGTCCCAAGTTCGTTAGCCACCACGAAATTGTTCTAGTGCAAGTACCAATTAAATACATCATCAATATTTCGTGACAATTTGAAACCATCAACTGTATCGATCCTAAACCTGCTAAGCCCGTTGATCAAGCTATCCCGCGTTAATGGGCAGCCGTGTACAAGTGAGAACACTTACACTGTACGAAGCCAGGATTTCCGAACCACTGACAATCCCGGCCACAATTTCGTACGCAACGTAACACGCTGGACGAGCTAGACTTTCGAATGGATTTTAAATTAAATTGAACCTACTACACGGACGCGCTAAATCACATTCGAAGATAAAAGAGAAAATGACGGTGAAATTTTTTGGCATTGTTCAACGCGGAACGAGCACTTCTTTTTAAACACCGTGGATCATTATCAACGCTACACGATCTAGATTTCTCTAACTAGGACGAACTTATTCAACGAATGCCTTATTAAATAGATATAACTATCGAGCATCGAAACACAGGTCGCTGACTTTTCAGCGTTCAATGATTCCACATTAATGGAGGCTTTTAGTGTGCGCGTAAATATTGACCGGAAATGCATCCTGATTTCCGTGAGCGTCGTTAAACAACCTGATCATAAATCATAACGCGTTGTGTATTTACGTTTCCACTCGTAACGCAGCCGGTCACACAGCGGGCTTTTCGTTAAATAATTGCCGGTACAGAAAACGACTAGATGAATGATCGTGGAATCGTCGAGATTCGTCTGAAAATTATTACCTGTCCACCTGTTTCGCGTTCGGATTTTCATTTGCTCGTTTGTCTCGCCTTACCTGAAACAGAAAAAGGAAACCTCGAATGAGTAAAACTTAAGGAAGGTTGAAGTTAAAATTGAAATAATTTCTAGTAAACCAGACTGAAGATATAAATTTTTCAAAATTATCCTGAATTTCCCGAAAAAATTTCTCACACCTTTAAAAGTGAAGGCGAAACTGTCTGATCTCGCGCAGCGTCGTGAAACATAAATTGCGAGAGGAGCTTCGCAGCGTTCACACGGCTGGTTCCATCAGGCTGAAGTATAAAAAGCGGAAACCGATTTTCCAGTAATCTCACGATGAAACGTAAAGCCTGCGCGCGTTGAAGTTCACGTTTCGAAGCTGGCGCTGTCAAATCTCCGAGTTGGAGATAAACTCTGATGGGATTTCAACGGACAAAAGTCCTCTCCGGTGAGGTGCGAAACGAAAAGGACGTCGGAGGAAGTGTTTTCGCGTGTTCAGCATAACTCGAAAACTGATCCGCGCTGCGGAGGGTAACGAGTTCGGTGGCGGTAGCTTGTGTCCGGGTGGCTCGAAGCCACGGCATGGCATAGCTACACCAGAGAACGGATAAGACCTGGCAGGTGGCCAGCCTTCGAGATATTGCACATGTTTCTTCGCTCGCATTTGCATACCAAAGCCCCGTAAAGTGTGAAACTATTGCCGGCGAAGCCAATACGTAGATCGCAGATTAAACTGCTGTTCGCGAGGGCCAAACCCTTCGAGCCACCACCTCGATAGTTCGCCTCCGCGATTTCCCTCTTCTTATCTGTTCGAAAGGAAAACCCTGATGGAATTACGCTCGATACCCGTTCCGTTCCCCCGTGTTTTTCTTCAAAATAGTTCCCGCTATTCCCCCCCATCCGCGCCTGTAAATATTTATGCGCTTTCCACGCCGCAGAGAAATCATAAATATTTAGCCGTTACTTTATTATATTATCTAACGTATTTCGGAAGGCTGACCGGATCAGGCGGACTCATAAATATGTCGATTGAAAATAAATAACTCGGTAAAAGGAAAAGGAGCTTAAGAGAACATGTGCATACGTTTTTCGTAGCTTTGTTGAAAAAAATAATCTCTAATATTACGGGAAATATAATAAAATATTAAGAGTTATTAATTATTGTAATTAATGCTAGGAATGGTCTAAATTTTATAACGATCTATCAAATTTCCATGCTTATTAATAAAAATAGGAAGCAATATTATTTGTGTTCAACGAACAGAGAGGTTTGATAACAGAACTCGATCTACGATGTAGGATCTCAGTAGCTGATACCGTTGTTGAGTTATTAACCACTTCCCTTCAGAATTAGCGGTAAATTAGCATACCATCAACGCTAGCTGCACGCGCTCGGGATACTCGATAATCCTCTAATCCTTGAATTTATCTTCGCGTGATCCCAAGTGAAATGCCGTACGAGCCTCAACATGTTGCTCATCGGATACGAAGAATGCAGGGAGTGACGCGTTATATACACTCGATGCTCCGTTACCACTAACTTATACACATTCTTCAAGATGATCCATCATCCGCAACGCGAAAGCATATCTGATCCGACCAGCTACCCACGCGTCAAGTTAATCGGTTAAAGTTATGCTACAAACTAACGTGTGTTCTTAAAGATTTTTGATAAGAAGTGCGTTTAGGTACGATGATAAGACTTCTGCTCGTTGGATTTGAATATGAAGAAGCTCTTACGGCTGACATAAATCATTTTTGTACAAGCAATTAAACGTGCGATCAGTTTTAAATATGTAATCTGAAATTCTTACTATTACTTACGCACTGAGGATTGATGGAAGAACAATATATTTTCGCTTGGAAGGACTCCGTCTGTTCGCGTGTTGTCTTGAGGAAGGTTCAAGAACGACTGAATGTATGGTCGAGCTCGGTCGCTCGCCGATAATTCGAGTGTTTATGAAAAGGGATTATCTTTTCCTTGAGCGCGATACCAGCTCTGCCGGTTTCGCCGGTAGACTTCGTCTATTGTATACGCATTGACCTTTATAAACTAAGACGCTACAAATTGTAGAGTTTGAATTAAAATAAGCCATACCCTTTGTATTCACGCGTAATTAAACCGCGGCAAACTATAACAAAGGCTAGGCAATAAAATAATCATTATATTGGATTTCGTGTATAATATTCGCAGAAAAGTTGCATGTGAGTTTATGGTTACTGTTTCAGTTCAACGATGCTTCACGAAGCCCTAAAAACCTGATACGCCTGAACAGTATAGAGTCCCGTGATTTATGTAAGAAAACCTATCAACGCGTTCCATTTTACAGCCCCCACGATTATCGATTATTGTCGCATCAATGGACTGTGGATAGCTAAGAAAGGAACAGCTTTTATAAAATGTTTATTCCTAATATTCCCATCAATAATAACCCTTCCGATATTGTTCTTCAAAGCTGAAACACTTGAGGGTGCAACGTTTCGTACAATCAGGAACAGTTTCTCCATCCAATCATCTTCTTTCTTTCTTCTTATATCAACAAAAGTTTCCAAGTTGAGGGTAACTCGACTAACTTTAAAATTAACTCGGACAAAACTTTGGATTACGAAGTCTCAACTAACGTTACTGAATCACTTTTCAGTTTCTATCAGCACTTTCTTTTTTCTTTTTTATCAAACAAAGCCCTCGGTGATAAGACAGAAAACGTCTCACTTCGAGCTTCAAAGAACTGTTTTCCATAAAATCATCATGAGAATCGTTATTAATCTGCCTGCAAGCACGCTCCATAATTTCTCGGGAATCGCGCTTAATTTCGCGACGTCTTCCGGGAGGGTGATTCGAGGGTGCGAAGAAAGCGTACGTTCCACGGTCGGAGGGCAAAGGTCGTGAGAACAGCTAGCAGGGCGCGAGATGCGAGACGTGACATCAAGCAGAAGCGCTAATTTTCGAGCAGAGAGAAGCTGGTCCCCGTTGAGCGAGTTCAAAGTTTCAAGGTCTCCGCCGGGAGATGTTTCGCGGGTCGAGTGGTCGATGTAAATTTCGACCCTTTGAACGCGAACTCCCGAGTGCATAAGGAGGCGGCAACTAAGACGATTTCAGTTAGTTACGCGACAATTTACCATTAGCAAATCCATGAATAAAATTGAAATAAATATTTTGTAATTTCGATTGACTGTCTTGCTTCCTCTTAATTAATTCTAAAACGAATACGAATATTAGGAGGCGGGTAGAACTCCAAGTATGAAGCTGGAAGATTTTCACCTTCCAGGAAGATTTTCCGAAAACTTTGACGACTTTCATACCCCGGAAGTTGCAAGACAGGGCAGCAGCCCAAGCGGGACGCGACAAGTCGAGGCGTTAATTTCATCTGCGAAGGAAGGTTGACAGCGCGATGCAACCCCTGGGACGTTCCACGGAACGAAATGGACGCGTAACCTCGATCCATCTGCGAGAAGAAGCTTTCGCTGGCAGCGATATTCCTGCCATTCGTTCAACCATCCCCCAGCCTCTTAACTCGTTTCCGGAGATGAAGTTCAGTCGTGGGTCACGTTCGCTATTTTCTCCAGGTCGTCGTAATTAGGATTCAGCCCAGTTCGGTTCGGCTTCGACGAATTTATCCCACTTCCATTCGCTTCCAACTTGCTCTACGTTTCGACTCGAAGAAACTTCTGTGCCTCGTGGCACGCTCTCCGCCTTCTCATCTGTCTATCTCTTTGTCTTTTTGATTCTCCCATAGCTTTCGCTCTCTTTCTCCATCGCCAGCCAGATCTTCTTCTGAGAACAAACCTGCGGGGTACCATCTGGTAAGCGAGAACAGTTGAAACGTGTCTATTCGAGGCGCGCATACCGGAAGGATTCGTTGCATCTGTTCCTTATCTCGCGAATAATCCGCGATTTAAGATCCACGCCAATGATAACGACTAAACTCGCGACTACGCACGTACCCTTAGAAACTGAGAAACTTCAGGGTTTTATAAACTTCCTCCGAGTTGCCGGGATTAATTGGTAAGATTAAACAATACCGAGTGTATACTGACGAAGTTTCAGCTTTTTAATTCTTAGAATACGTCTGGCAAAAATAATTCACGATCCGTTTCTGCGAATCAAAGTTTGCGAGCAATTATCAAGACCCTTCTCTGCGATATCTCCAGATCATTGCTTGCCGGTGAACAGATCTCAGACACGTTGTCGCAGTTTTCGAGGGAGTTTCGCTATCGACCGGTACGTCGTAAGACGACGTTCACCGGGAGTATCTGCTTATCAAACATCTTGCCTGTAGGACTTTAATCAGAAGCCGTGTACCCACGTAATTCTCCTTCGTCTCCCGCGGGAAGGAAACTTTTTCTCCCCTTTTCGTCGGAGGAAAAAATTCGTTTGAATGGACGGTGGAAAGGAATTCTTATGCTAGGTCACGCAGACCTCCACTTATCTCGAGATAAGTCAAGATCCGTTTGCAAATATTCGCAAGCAGTTCAAAACCCTCCTCTCTACTGACTACCACCAGAGAATTATGATATATTTCGAGGATATTTTTACAATTGAATTTATTTATTTGAATGCTACCAGCCTGAGTTATTAGAGAATGTTAGGCTGGATGTTACCACGAGGTGTTCTAAATCAACATACTACTAGCGAGAGTGTATGCATAGAAAAATAAAGAAGCAGTCGTGATTGATCGAAGATGCGATCCGTTTCGAAACGCAGGATAAATTGCATAGGAATTCTTAGTAAAATAATTCAACTGAATATTTGTATAAAGACAAGATGCTGATGGAGGTCGACGAAAGAGCTCACAGATCATCGTAATCGGGCAAACTTTTACGAAGTAATCTGCATCGAGTTTTCAGATTTCAGGAAAGCAGTATGGGAGGCGAAGGTTACGCTGTGTTTCACGCAAAATATATTATCTTTTATGGGTCGATCCGAAAACGGCTCTCTAATGCCTTTTAGCTGATAAAGAGCGCGAAAAGGTAGAAGGTTCGAGCGAGTAGAGAGCCGAGAGAACTGTCGTAAATCGTCGAATGCAGAGTCTACTTGAATTCAGGGTGAATATCCTGGCTGGTTCCGTGGTCGACGACAGTGAAAAAGCGTTAAACGTTTCCGAGATTTGCGAGCAACCCCGGAGGCTGAAAGGCGGTTATCAGGCCAACGATAAGATCGCCGGCAACCGATACAGAAGGTGCATTTAACACGGTTGCTCGATGCAAATGAAAACAAAAGGGGGTTATCTTCGTTTCTAATTCGTGACGAATGCACCTCTTAAATTCTATCTAACGAAAGCGTTCGCAGCCGTTGAGAGGTTGCGTGTTATTCGCGACCGTTTCACCGTATCACCGACCATGGATCTTAATACAGAATTTAATGGGATTTATCAGAGAACAAAATGACCATTTAACCTTATTCTATTTACAGATATAATCTAGCTGATGAGCAACGAGAAATGATATTTATAAAAAGGAGCGAAATAAATTTTCGCGGTTAAATTTTCAATTTAATTAGCGAAGTAGGTTAACGACACATCGAGACGAAAGCGTAAAATAATTCCTTAACTGAGATAACCCATTGGATTTTTCTATCTCCATTTTTCGCGTGATTTCCGAGATTCATGATAAAATTTCTCGTATCATACCGTTCGATTATGCCGCAATATCCACTAAACCGCGATCGAGTATTATTTCTGCGCTAGGTACACGACCCTCGAAGCTTCAGAAACCTGGAGCTTTTTCTGAACGAATCCGAACGAGGGGCATGTTTATTTTGACTCAAAGCATGGAAGTTTATTTTCTGCTCTCGCTATTTTTCGGATCTGCATACCGCGTTGCCCACGCAAACCCTCTCAAATCCGTGCTTCTTCATTGAAATAACAAAACGAATCTAATTATTATTTCAAATAAACGGGAGCTCATCGTTTCGACGGTATTACGCTGACCTTTTACCTCTTTCGACTACTAATTACTGCTCTTATCAGCTTCGGAATTGAAATTTTAAAATTGACTCATTTTTAAATAAATGTATTTAGTCATAGAAAGAAATAATTAATAAAACAATAAAACAAATCTGCAAGTCTATTTTTTATACCCTTATATCTAATGATCCGCAAAACTACTGCAGACGTTTTTCACCAGTATCAGCAGCAGAACAAAGCAATTTTCGATCCACGAAACGATTCGACGGTCGTCACCTCGTGTCCTTAATAGCTGCCGAGCACGCATTGCCAGCGAATATCCTGGTGGTTGCATTAGCTGCAACAATATCATCGCTATCGTACCAACTAATTACTCAAGCGAAATGAGCCTTCGTCGAGCGCAATCTCCATATTTTAAATCTCCATTCTTCCGAAACGATCGCGCGGTCTCGAGTTCCCGGTCCTAATTGCAATTACAACCGGCGAGAATTACAATTCCGCTCGATTATCGGCGACCATAACGGCCAGGTCCGCCGCGAATTTCCCCGAGCATTATCTTCTCGCAATTAAACCACGATACCTAGCCGGGCTTCACGGAAAACGCGCAGCCCCGCTGGTAAACAGAGATTACGTCGATTAATTTAATAGCGAGCCGTGTTCCCGGCCTCGTTTCGCAAAGTCTGTCTGCATCGCTGACGGTATTGTCAGCGTCGCTAATTGCCGAAATTCTGAAACTGCTAGCGTCACGTGCTAAGAAGGAGGGCGACGAGGACGAGGAGGAACAAGCAGATACACACCAGGTGCATGTACACGCGTCGCGACGCTTGCACATGCTGCACGGCTTAACGACGGCCATCGTCGTACGAAAGTCTTAGATCATCCCTACTGCCTCGAACTTACTCTAAATTAGTCCTGCTTCTCGGTACATGCGAGAGGAAGTTTATTTAAGCGCTTCTCGTGATAGTGTCGCAAACTGATTTGCCATTAATTAAATTATCAGGTCGCTATAAAATTCGGAGTATCGTTAATCAATTCGGATTTAACGGCGAACGAACGAGTGAGAACACGTGCGCGAGATATGAAAATGAAGTTGAAAACGCCTAAACGTGTCTGGACTTTGTGCCAGGTTGGTTGCCAGGGAAGAACAGAAACGAGATAATTTAAGCTCGCGGGTCTTTCAAAAGCTACTGCATTCGTTAAGAACTCAAAATAGCTAAATAAGCAGCAGTCTCGTATAAAAGTATGTTCTTTGTTATCGTACTGTTGATGCTATCTTTTAGGTTGACTTAAAAAAAAAAATAACGCAACTGCTACAATAAAATTTCTAAAAGGAAAGAGGAACGACAGTGTTTGAAATAAAGCAGGTTTTATATTTTTTATATTAACTTTGAAGGATTCAAAAATTCAACGTAACACCCTAAAACAGAATTCCTAGGCATTAATTCAACCGATGGCGTGTAACTATCCACACAATTGACGATATCTGAACGACACAGGGGTCTCCATGGTTATGCAGCTACGATTGCCGGTGGCTATCGTTCCATGCTGCTTCTCCTGTGAACTCATTGTGACAGTCCACTCAACGACCAACGACCTGTGCTACCTTTTACCACCGCAAAATACAGGGGTTTCGAGAGAAAAGCAGCTCGCGATAACTTGGTTGCGAGGCATGCCACGAGGAGCTTTCATTGCTTCTCCCTTTTTAACCCCTTTTATCTTTCGCTTTTGCGACCAGTTTTATTCGCGAGGCTGATATGAAAGAGGAGTTAAATAGAGGATTGTAAGATCGGGCAGAAATACTTCTGTGATTTCCAAGTTCTGTTCGCTCTGCATAGTTTCCCGACAAAAGCGATCCGCTCGACTAAGAATCGAATTTATCACCGATCGCGTTACGAAACCGACCGATCATTAATTCCATTAGTCAGACAATCGTTGTTCAGCTGACCAGTTCGCTTAGCAATCGCAATTAATCGTTCGCCGCGTTGACGCCGGGGACGAATTGCTCTCGTTCCGCGATCGATCTTGCGAATTAATCAACGATTTACTTGTACACAGATAACCCGACGAGTGGTCGATTTTCTTCTCCACGATCTCCGTGAATACTTATAACGATACTGTTGCGTTTGGAATATTTATGGAAGCCATAACTCTTTGTATTGCTGAATATCCAGCTCCAGATCACGGAATAAATTCACACGTTTCGTTAGCAAATGGTGCATTTTTCGCTCTTGCGTTACTAATTGATTTCTGTTATTTTATTAAATTTCTAACGCTAGTAAAATATATCTATGTGGAAGGACTAAGAAATAGTATCTTAAATGCATCAGAATCTTCGGTTATTTTCATGAGACCACTTTAAGGTCGGGGAAAAAAAGCTATCGAATTCAGATTAGACGAGAAGAGTCATCGGGTGTAAGTAACTTTTCGGAATAGACAATGAACGATATTCCGCGTGCATCTCGTGGTTACGCCCCGCATAAAATCTGTTTACACAGCTGGAAAACACACCCTCCTGGGCGACGGAAGTGCGGCGAGCAGCTAAGCGTACTCGCTGGCTCCGGAGCCATCGCCTCTGCAATTTTATTAGCTGGAAGAGAGCAGGGAATTTGCATCAGACGCTCGAGTCCTCCGCTCTTTTTGTTCTTCCGGATAAATTCACCCATTCTACCTACCCGCCGCTTCTTCGGATACATCCCGCGAATTTATCAAGCGCACGCATAACGGCCGTCCAAATTTTACGATTTATACGCGCTTGTTGGCACTTTATTGGCCATTCAGGAAGAAATTAGCAGCCGAATCCTCGTCGCAGCTTTGCTTTTACGATACGCCTAAAAAATTGATCAACCGTTCGCGCGTTTCACCTTATCTTTATTTAAATGCGTCGTCCAAGATTTTTCATTATTTACAAACACCGCTGAAACTGCACTAGCGATGCTAAATATTAAACGAGGCATTGAATCGTAAAATTTCATTCTCGATGCATACTGTGACCGTACGATTCTATATATCATACACTGGCGAAAAAATTTGAACGGTGAAAAGTTGTTACAAAGTAAAGAAAGAAATGCGGAAGAAAAATACCGAGAATACCGGGGTACGAATTAACAGCATGGCGACGCGTTAAAGAGTATAGGAATAGGATATGCAAGCAGCCGTGAAATCTGCGGGCTTTACGCCGACCATAAGACGTGGCTGTATTTTATTAGCCGAAGAAGATGAAATTTGCATGAGATCCTTGAACTTTCGTCCATGCTGTTCCTAGTTTCGCGATTCAACCTTTGTGGACTTGCATAATGTCGCGAACTTACTAAGTTACGAGCCGAACTTTCAACGAGCCTGACAGATTTATCGCGTACGCACACATAACAAGTGTCGGATAAAGAGGAGCGATTTAAACGAACGTCTTGACACTATAATTCAATATACTTGACACGTGAACTTTCATTAAGATTTTCACGGATTTCGCAAAACTCTCATTGTCTTCTTTGGTAGCGGTATAAGAAACAAACGATAAAACCGGTTAGCCGTTGCGTACCGAAACCTATTTTCATTCGCGAGGAGAGAAACTGGAGCGACGACGAAACGAAAAGTGCATTCATCGTTTAGGTAATAAAGGAACGCTCGAACGATCCTGCAATCCGCTCGTAAATCTATTTACGCCAGCAGAAAGGGGTAAAAATGGAAATAGAAGAAAAGAACGGACGCGATGAATGCAGCTCTTGAAACGTGAAGTCCATTTTATTACCCGAGAACGCGAAATATTCGCGAGACTCTCGCGTATCGGAACGATTGCACCCTCATAATTTCGCATCTTCGTTGCTCGGCTCTTTCGCACGAACCTCGGTATATCTTTTTCCCAAACGAGCTGCTCCCGATTTATACAGGATTCGTAGAATAAATTATAATTCGTTTTCTCGTTATCCTGTTCAAAATACGAACCAGGAATTAATTCGTCCTCGTACGACTGTTAGAAAACGAGCTTTGAAAAATATTTGCCCGCATAATTACCTTTTTCTGACCGCCATCAATGCGAGTTTCTTTAAAATAAATTCTCCCGTTGCATTTAACGCAAACGAATGAAGAATCTCGAACAATGCGCCCAGTGCTCTTCCAGGGCACAAAGCAAAGTGTTAAACGAAGCGAGAAGAAATTAAATTTAATCCGTGTACGAGACTCAAACCCCTTTCTCTTCGGTTAATCATCGCCCGCAGTACGGACGTTCATAAGGCAATATCGAGGCCCGAAATTTCATCGGGGCCGATAAATTTATCGCGTACGTACACACTCGGCCTGGATCATTCCGAATGCATGACAGGGCAGATTAACGAAATCCTCGTCGAAGGGGTGAGCGTTGGCGCGTGATTCTTTTGCATTTTCCGTCGAGTGGTTTAAGTGGCGGACCTGAGGGCTGCTTTAATATGAACGGTCGTGTGCACGGAACAACACTCGTCAAAACCACGGGGGACTTCCGCTTTAGAAGGACTATTAAAATTTAAACTTTCACCTCGAGTCAACACTTGATTTCATGGGAAGTTGGTGTTTTAAAGAAACAGTAACAATCATCGAGAATAATACTGTAAGCGAAGTTTATCTGAAAATGATTCTTGTATAAAATATTGTCAGAGCCGACACGAACATGCTTGCACGCCTTCCTAATATATTAAAAGAAGAAGCATTTATGGGAGCTTTCATGCTCAGGATGCGACGGCAAGTCCATTGTCTCGCAAAAAGATGTGTTCGGTGGAGACAGCTATTTCAGGGGCAAAGACGAGGAAGACATTTTAAGACCACCATCGCAGCCTCAAGCAGGGTGCCACATTTTTAAGAAACGAGGCTGACCTCGAAACACTTCCGTGCTTTTATCTAGACGAAAAGCTATACTCAACGCGTAAAATCTCCCTGGATGTATCTTCAACACCCTAGTTCGTTGCCATTGTTAAAATATTTGAGCGAAAAATCCTGATCTTTCCTGAACTTGTATTTACCATCGTAAGAAAATTGTTCAAACCAATACGATAAATGAATCACCAGAAATAGTAGAAAGAGAGGAAAGGAACAAAACGTATTCCCCTAATTGTTCAAAATTCTCACGAATCGACTCTACAAACTTCAATGCAGCTAATATTTATCGTAGCAACGAGCCCGTCAATATTTTAGGACAAGCTACGTGATCCGAAACTAGTTACGCCGGCTCCATTGTGTTACAAATGCCGGCAGGATGTCAGGCAACAAGGGGGGAAAAGGACAATGTAGCGGTGCGCGAAACCGGAAGCTAAATGCCATCCCAACGGGGTCAGTTTCACCCTTAGCCTGTGCGGTGCGTACACCACGCGCGTCATATAAATAAAGTCGTTTTACATTTTTATGATGGTGCGGATACACGGAGGGTGTGCAAAAAAGGTTGCGCCAAATTCCAGGGGGATATAGTATACATCAAAATGAAGGAATAAAAAGATATTTCATAAACATGGATCCAAAAAATCATGTGTACCCATTTTATAAAATGGTTTGTATCATCAAATGTTATTTCTTTTCAAAATAAATTACACTTATTGTTGGAAATATTTTTTGTAATTATTATATGCTCTTCGAGAGTTCGATCTCTTGTTTTATCATACGGTTGGCATTGTTGAGATACGATCGAAAGCACTTCTGTCGATTTATTTGAAAGGGATGACGAAAGAAATTTTCGTGAAACGACGACTTTCTGAACTGGTTGCACGAAGCGGAAAAGATGCGTGATACACGGCCATGCATGAATAACACGACGTTTCATAGCTTCACGCTGGCCTGAATAAAGTTGACAAACTCGGTTAATGGACGAGCGTTTTTCACGGAATCTAAGCACCGCACCATGGGGTTGGAAACGGGTAAAGGGAAACGTTTCGTTCACAGGCGGGTAATAAAAATTGCGTTGCGTAGACGGAGAGTTAGAGGGCAATTAATCGTAGGAGTTATATTTTCTCTAGGAAGCTGATTGTTATGTAAATCACGGTTCATTAAACCTTGCGTTACAAGAGTGGCCAGTCGATAAGCAGGTTGCATGATGCGTGTTCCTTGATGAGAGATCGTAATTACGTGCGCGATTCTGACGCCCTGTTAAACTTTTAACAAACGTTTGGATTCTTCTCGTTTCATTTTTTATTCCTTAATATACCACAGGTACAAAGAGTCGTTTATACTCAACAGCTTCTCCTTGTTCATTTTCCAAAAAAAGAGAGAAAAAAGGAAAATAGTGGATGATGTACTCGACGTCGTATGCAGACCATAACATATACGAAGAGAATAGACAGGAAGAGAGGGTAGCTACGGTGACGTTACGGTTGAGTATAAATGGACGTTTATACTTATTTCTGCCTTTGTCTACCAGTCTATTATAATTTACTGCGGAGACAACGAGCTTGCAATTAAATTTTTTCACCAAGGATTTTTGTTTATTGTCCACGATGAAGCTTTTATTTGAATAATATCTACACAATAACTTATGTTAATTAGAATCTGAATATCATATACTAACTGTTCCATAATGGTCTAACAGAAATATCAATTCACGAATGTAGACCAAAACGATCTCCACCTAAAATACAATTTTTTATCAAAAGCTTCACTTAGATGATTGTACCATCATATCCTAAAGAACTGAACTATCTGAGCTACCCAACGTTCAGAGATCATCAATTCGGATCCCGAAGAAAACTACTGACCTTAAAAACAATATCAATATATCCGGCACGAAACGACCATTCCTTAAAATTGACGATAAATTTTTCTACCCCCGGTTCTTCTCAGAACATTGAACAATAGGACCGCTGGAAAGGAACCTCGGTATAATTCTTCCACCCCCGAAAACAAAATGACGCGTGGCATATAAATAACCGTGGTTTTTATTACGTCGTCGGCAAAAGAAGATGATTCGACGTTCTTATTTAAACATACTAGGGTAAAGTTCGGCGCGGTAAAAGGGGGAGGATAAAACGCGGATAGAAGGGTGGCGGAAACAGGAGCAGCGAGAGGGTGCGCGTACGCGTGCGTTGTACATCAGCGAAATAACGTATAAACTCGCGGAAAGCACGGAAGTATTATTTACAGATAAAACCTGAGGGTAGAAAGGGGTAGAAATGGGGCGCTGGGCTCGCATCCACGCTTTCTTTATGCCGGCACAATGACTCCGGCGTCCTTTTCACGACGAGGCCATTACTATCGTCGACGGCGAATGTATCCGAGGAACCGAGCCCGCACGACTTCCCTCGAAGAATCCTGGTAAACGATCCGGAACGGGTCGACGCTTTTATACTGACGAGATGTAATTTCATTCGGGGACGACCAACATTTTATGCGGAAAATTAGACACCGAAAAAAATACGATAGTTTTAGTGCCAGATTAATCCTTCGATCGTTGATCAACACCTTCGATTCAATGCAATATCGATGGATTTCAAATTGAATTTTCTTTTTTCAGAGTCGACGTGCATCATCGATGATATTTTGTTTAAGTTATTTTATGGTTTATTTCACCATCGTCTACTTTTCATGGAAAAATGTAATTTAAATATTTTAAACGTTAATTACAAAACAATTAACATCCTAAAATTTCACTTTAATTAAAACACGAATATTTAAAGTGCACATCGAATAAGGAAATTCGAGGGAAAATCGAACTCTATCACGTATCATTAGTTTCCCACGAGTCAGAAAAGTGTTTAACGAATTTCCAATGGACGTCGAGAACATCGTTCATTAAGGGTAGTCGCGAACTAAGCAATTTCGTTGAAACTATAAAATGAAAATCACGGACTAATGAGGTATAGAAAGGCTCGGGGGGAAAGGACAGACAAGGAAATGTTGTATCGGTCGAGGCTAAATGATAAAATTGGTGAATGATTGTGCGGTCGGTCGTTGGTCAAGCCTGAATATTTCGGCTGCTCGATACACGAAATGCAACTTCGCAGTTGGCTTGCACGCAGTTTCGAAAGTTATGGCCATGCGAGCGACATGTTCCCATTTAGTTGGTTAATGAATTGCGCTCGTTTGAAGCTTGTTATGTTTTATTCAGAACGCTGCTCGAAACCTCGCGATTTTGCTCCGCCTTAAAAAGTTAAACAGCTTTTAACTTTGCCACTGAACGACCTGAAACCCTTTCATCGTGTAACAAGATTATAAATTATATAATTTAAAAAGGTTCAAATGATCGAGATAGCACAAACGTTGAAATTTCTTAGAAATTTCATGGAACAATAACTCTGTCGAATAATTCTGAACAATTGTAGATACTTTAGAAAAATCGCTTGACGTAAAGCAGAGCTTTAAACCAAGCAAATCAAATACCCGGGACAATATTACTTTGGTATATCCATTCATGTGAAATAGACTGAAGCTTACGGCTCATGAAAATTACGCCTAGTCAGTCGAGCGCGAGCGTCAGCTTCGACTTTCCCTTTGTTGTCTCATAAAAATCCTATCTACCGAATCGAAACCTCATTACCCGGTAATAGTCGAGTCACTCGATATTCAAACTCTTCTTCTGTTTCTCAAACGATCAAATGAAACTGTGTATCCTCTGTATCGAAATATTCGATAAAATATTGATTTCGCGGTGAAACATTTTTGCACGATAGTTCTTGAAGCAATAAATTTCTTTTCATGATCGTAAATAGAGAAATGCTGTTTTCATTAAATATTTCAAGAAAGAAACTTGGTAGAAATTTTAGTTAGTTTTGCACAGTCGATTCAATCTCCTTGGCCATCCACTCGAAGAACACGGTGGATAGGTCGTTGAAATACACCAATTCTCTTAATTCTTTTTTTATACTTTCTTTCCTGTTCACCGTCTTTTCATTTGGTAGCAAACGAGCACCGAGAAATTCTTGAATTATTGATTCCGTAAAGCTAAGTGAAGAAATGCTTCAAAGGGCTGCAACCAGCCGGTCTAACCACACACTTCCCTTCACTTCCGGGAAAGATAAAATTCTGAAAATCCCAGGTAATCTCGGGTTACATGGGCTTTAACTTTCAGGTAGAAACGCTGCCCGTTTTGGAATATCGTTAACTTCTCTGTGTACACTAGTGATTTATTTGCAAACGAATACGTGTATTTAAAAGAGAAACTGCAATGTTACAAGGAGAGCACATTTCCTTTGAGACTGATTTCAAAACATCTTGAAAACACTGTTGGTTGTTCTTAAATTAAAAAACAAGAAATTTACAAAAATGAGAAATGATGAATTTAGATTTCTTTTAACTGCAGTCAGATTTACGAATATTTATAATAATTATAGGAATCAGAAATTGAACTGTTTCAGTTTGATCCGATTCTGAACACACAGATTTAGGCCGGTGGAAACAAAATCCGAAGCGACGAGGCACGAAATGGAAATCTTCGCGTAATCGGCTCGCGTGCCGTGAAATTTGCATCGCGGACGGAGCGAGTTTACGCCGGAAGAAGCAGATTCTCACGCGTTAACACGGCTAATCCGGCGAATCGTGCGTGGTAAAGCGGACACTTGTCAAAGTGGAGAGACTTCTCTGCACCGTACCCCAGCTAAATTAATTTTCCCTCTCGTCCCGACTCATTTCACATTCCAACAAAACGGCCAGCCGCTGGTAGCGCGCGCGTCACCCATCTCGCGCCATTTACACTGAATTCCCCGACAAATTGTCTCGGATTTCATAAAACAATCGGAAAGTCCGCGCGCGTGCATGCACTTCCCAGCCACTGTGTTTCTTGCTTTTCAACGAAATTGCCCCAAATATCATAAGTTGTACTCTAATAACTTTCAAGCGCAGTCATTTGAACCAGTAGATCTACAAAACAAAGAGTTTATCATTGAAAAACTTTGAATTTCTTTCAAAAATCTAATCAAACAATTTTAATTTTTCCATGCTTTTCGGAAATAGAATCATTCGATTTCTTTCATAATTGAAAATGTTTTCTAATCAAACTCAAACATTGATGCAAATTATCTCCAAGCGTCGCGTCGTCTAATGAATTTTTAATGAATTTCATAAGGACACTGTGATAATTCAATTCAATTCGTCGGAGCGAGGACACAACAGGATCGTTTAATTGGAGAATGTTCGCGATCCCACAGGGATTTGCAAAGAAATGATTCGAGCCGAGTGACGCGTAATCCGGCTCCATTAATTCGGCCATTAAAAATGAATATAACCTCGATACCAAGCCGTGGAGCGAAGCTGGCGTTGCACACATGGATCACTCTAATCTCAGCATTATGCGTAGAAAGGTTCCAAGCCGCGCGTATTGACCATTTCTCCACTCTCTTCATCTTTCTCTCTTCTTTTTCTCTTCCTCGCTTTCTACGTCCTATCTTTTTCTCCTTTCTCTCGGCACGCGAAAATTATATGCGAGACGGTGCTTGTACGTTGAAAAGCAGATAAGATTTCTGCCGCAACTCGGCTCGACTCGGCTTGGCTTGGCGGTCGTTCGTCAGGAAAGAAGAAACGAAAGACGGCAACGCGAGAGAGTTGTAAGGTGACGAGCGTACAAAGGGTTGGCGAAAGGGATGAAAAAGGGCGAGATACTAGCGGCGATTGCACAAAGGAATCCGATGTAATCCGGTGGCAAAAGTCGACGAGGCCGGGGAACAGCTCCGAAACCCGATGCAAAAATGCAGCTAAAGCGAGCGTAGACGCGATTGCGGGCCGGATTAATTCCTTCGTCTGGCAGCTTCGTGAATTTTCCTGGTAGTTCGCGGGAATAATGCGAAAAGAAAAAGCTGTAATCGTCGACTAGCAACGCTTTGATTCTTCTTACCTTTCCTTTGCATCTTGTTTATGATTCTCATCGTCGCGGCTGTATCATTCACCATTGTAATTTATTGCGATTTCAAGTTACAGCATATTCAAAAATTATTTCTAGTTTTTATAAATAGATTAATAGATCGTGTTGTACTTGGAACGAAGCAGCACTTTGGTAATTAAGATGAAAAGGGTTCTTTGAAGTCTTTCAAACAAACTGAAATCCTTTGTTCAGTGGAAAAGTGTCAATAGACTTCGGGCCAGATGTTCTATAATCTCCATTGAGAGATTACCAACGTTTATCTGACGAAAGCTACTGAATTAGTTTCCGTTTCGTTCGTATCAGCTCTTCATTCCACAAAACTGTCGGGAGAGCAATCTGAACTCTCAACGATTCTTTATGAAGCTGAAGTTTATCTTCCCAAGAAGCGTTCCCTTGACGCTTTCTTTCGCTATCTACCTAGTAAAATACTCGAGATAATCTTGGTGAAAACACACCGGGTTCAAGGTTCTACGAGATTTTGAATACTCTTCGTTTCACGAGCTCGGAAATCCAACCTTTATCTTTAGAGTTATTTCAAATGAATCTGTCATTCTGTAACAAGGCAGCAGACCTGTCTCAGCTGAGAATTTCACGGAATTATTTATCTTCAGTTTGACTTATGTTTTATAACAAAGGAAATAAATCAGAAGGGTAGAAAATTTTCAAGGAAAAGTGTCCACAGAAAAATGTTCTTTTCGGAAACAGTTATTGATCATCGTAATTTAGTAAATTCAGGTTTGATTGTTCTTGGCATCGTAACGGAAAAGTGTGCGCAGAGAATCGGAAACGAGCCAACAGAGACACGTAGCCGGAAGGGAAGTGGAAGGCTGATGGATTTCCCTGGTGAACGGGGTGGCGCAAAACGAATCCGCGGAATTAATAAAGCGTAAAAATGAGGGATTCTCGAGCCGGTCGATTCAGTTAACGGTAATCCGTGCCACGTCAATTATCGACAGCCGCGATTATGAGTTGCAGCCGTCAGTTTTCTGTGCAACCACGTCGACAGACTGTAATTCGCGACGCGTAAAACACGCTTCGCTCGAAATCATCAATTTAATCCTTCGTGACGGGAACGACAAAAAACAGACGAAAAGGATTTACGATTTATTAACGACCCACTCTTTTTCTCGTGGATGAAGTTTCCCGTGTGTATTATGGTTACGATCAATGTTTGTTGAGCTGAACAGGAAATCCGGAACTGCATAGATACATTTTTAAAAATTTCACTTCAATTTTTACCATTTTTAATAATAGAACTACCGGCGTTTAATGCACGCTAAATTTTAGATTGAAAATAAAATAGAAGCATAAATAGATCACGTATGAAATTCAAACCAGTATGTTCAATAATTCTTTATCTCGATAAAAGTCAACGTATATTTCAACAAAAACATTTAAATAAATTTTATAATTAAAATTGGGATATTTGAGATCTGTTATTTTCATCCCTTTAAAACTATCCAATATCACCAAATTATCACTGAATTTCTATACCTAAATAACATTCATTGGGTTTCGTAGAAAATGAATGGTACGATAAAAAATGCGTCTATTCCGATTACGCGAATCGTTGTACCGAAAAATTCGCTAATAATTTCACGATTCTAGGACGAAGTAAAAAGGCAACGGGAGATCAGCATCGAGTCGTGTCGAGCGTGAGAAACGTAATAAGTCGAATGGACCATTCACAGTAAGAAATTAAGTTAGTTCGTTTCTTCCGTATCTTCACTGACCATCACTCGATTCACTCAAATGACCGTTCGATGCTCTAGAAGAGAAGAAACGGATCGCTAACGAGGCTATCGACGACCGATCGAACGACTCGATTAGCCCACCGAAACGCTCCTCGACGACTTGTTCCAACTTTTTATCGTTTCGAAAAATTTCAAGCCAGTATAAGTGGATCAGACCCTCTTAAGATCTCTCAGATCTTTTTCAATAACGACTGCGATTAGAACTTCATTTGAAATATTTAATGAAATCAGTCAAATGAATGTAAGAATAGAGATCAGTGAATTAATATGTGTTCAGATAAATGTGACACGAATACTTTAATTTTTAATTTCAATTCTAAAATATTCATAATATTCGCTAGCTATCGGAAATATTAACTATGTATGGAACACATGACTTAGTTTAATTTTGCAATATTAGCGTCAGTCAAAGGAACGTACAGTGAAATATTTCACGAAATCTCAACTAAGGAGTGAAGAATAAAATGATCGGCCGATAAATCATAGGATGGAAACATCGAATCAGACATTCTCCTGTTACTATTGAATTACACTTCATTCAGCGGAGACAACGTCTCGTTCGATCGCAGCCAACACCGTGTTCAATTACACGTCCGATTTCCAGATACAAGATGAATCGTGACCATAAATAAGCCAATGGAAACGAGACATTAGAAATCGGCGACGTTCGCGCAAGAAGATCGCGATTATTTCAGGTTTTAAAGAAAGGAATCATTTAAAAGTAGCATCAACGGTGGTCGAACGGTGTAACGAGACTTCGATTTGATCGGGCTTTCTCTTCGTTCACTTCATTTAATCAATTCGATCGACGCGGTATCCTTCGACTGAATCTCGCCAACAGATATCACGATCGACCTGTTTGCCGGTTTAATTTGTTTGCGTCCAGTCTGAGGTATCGGATCAGCAGCGATACACGTTCGATCAAATTATGTATCGAACGGTACCGCGACCTCCGATATCGACGACCGTCTCGATTCGACTCGCCAATCTCTGATCGAAACGATTCGACTGAAGTATCCGCATCAGATTACTGTGTCGTACGCAGAATACCGATTTCATCGAGGGTACCGCAAGAATGTGATACACGTGCATCAATAGAGATGTTTGAACGTATATTGTTGAGCAAGGCTTCCATTAAATGTAATGAGAAGAAAAAGAAAGTATCGAATAAGCGTGAAAAATTACTTATTTACGAGTAGAGTTCTAAAGATCGATTAATATAACTAATTCTACCCTGCCAATTAACACTTTAGTTTATTCGAGGAAATATTTCAAGGCAATTTGATTAATACTAAATGAGAAAATATATTTTAAAAAATAATGCTCTTAAAAAGAGTATTATTTATTTACCAGTAGAATTTTAGAGATCGAATCGTATGATTGATTTTATCCTGTCAATTAACACCTTAGTTTAGTCGAGAAAATATTTCAGAATAATTACATTAATACTAAGCAAGAAAATATATTTATAATAATAATATTCTTAAACAGAGTACCTCAAAATGTCCCATATGGATAGTATGAAGAAACTTCTATTACCAAATATTCACCTACAGCACCGCGAACCACCGTATTATCGGATTTCCTCGAATAACGAAACACCCTCGCAAATGCCGTACGTTTTGTTCGCCGGCTGATCCTCCACTTTCCCGGGGAAAAAAATGTTCAGTAGCTCGATCGAATCGAACTCTGTTGCAGTACTGAGAGACCGCAGAAACTTTAATCACGGATCACAGGATTCAGTCGCGATTCTCATTCGTCACGAACACCGAGAGAGTACATCCCGTTTCCACTAGCTCTCATACATGCAGTTTCGCGGAAGCATAAAGGATGCGCCCGTAAATCTCTGCGGACCTCATTTCACCGGGCAACACAATAGTTGGTGCTGGTCGTTCGAAAGGACGCTCAGAACGTGGTTATTTGATCGTAATACGATTTACGATTAAACCTTCTCGACCCTTTTGCTCGATTCGCTCGGTACAGTTTACTTACAAGTATCGTGGACCAGTCTGTCTCCCACCCACTCTCGTATATAGTAGAGATTTTCTTCGTTAAACCAGATTTTTCGTAGCTCTTACCTGAAACAAGGGAGATAAAAATTAGAATCGGTACGGGGGTGTTCCGTCACGTCGAATAAAGAAAAACTACGTAGCTTTTCCTCGCGTGAAAAACGTTTAACGAAATCACGGTGCGCTCGAAAAAATTCTTTCCTTTCTCGACGCGGATGAAACGCGAGATTTTTGATTCTCTTAAACGCTTTCATTATTCTCGCAGCTCTGCGTAAACACGTCTCCGCGGGGAAAAAATTGTATAATTTTACCGAGCCAGATGTGGAAACGCTTTCGCTCCCAACCGTTTCGTTTTAGCTCGTTTTATCGCACGATACCGCGTATCACCGTGTTTATTTTACACTTTTCCGCAGGTGTTGTGGATTTTGACAAAAATACTATCATCTTCTGTTTTGTGATTACAGAGACGTATCGGAAAAGAATGAATCGACGCGTGTGGGTGTCTGAGGGAATAAATATTTTTAACCATGATGATATGATTATATTCTGAATTTCTGACGAGCCTTGTTGAATCATACAAGCAATAAATTATACTTCAAATTTTTTTAATTTGCAAAATACATTCAGCTTGATTCTCATCCTTTCTATAGTAGAACGGTTATCAACTTTCTTCCACGACAAATAATAACATTGATTCATGCTACCAATTAGTCACACGAAATCCATAAGAAAACTGGCACAATTTCACACTCTGTGTGACTCGAACCGGCAGAACGAGCGAGGAAAAAGCGTAACCGCAGAATTGAAGTATCGCTGGATAAAAGAACCGCAAAGTCCTCTCGCTTCGCTGAAAGCGAAACAACAAACGTTGTTTGAAATCGAACCAACGAAAATATCAACGCTTCGAGTACAATCAAGCATCTCCGCTTGCACGCTCTGGCCTTAATTATACTTTTCTACTTTACTCTGACGATGATCTTTCTTTTTTTATTCTTTTTAAACCAAGTTTTTCTCCGTACATCGCGACTATTACTCGCAACGAAAACGTCCTGCGTAATTACACGCACCGCGAATCTCCGCGAGGGATGCAATTAACTCGAAACCTCGCTCGCGTTCCTGGCGATTCAGCAGTTAATCACCTAGGAAGTTATACGCCTCTCTGTCACATTCGTCCCTCCCCCTCTCCACTTCATTAGGACTGCATTCATAAACAATCGCCGTTTTACCGGCACGCATCGAGGGGCTATCGATGGTTATCGAATGCAAACCACGCCAACACGCGACGAGCTGCTCGCTCGTTAGCCACTCGACTATTTTTTAGCGCGAAATTTCGCGAACCCCACGCCAAATCGCTGCTAATTGCTCTGCCAGTGATTATACGACAGTTTTTCGGCAAAATAGAAACTGACAGAGTCAAAAATCGAATCTTAATGGTCCGCGTTGTAATCGTGAACGTTTTCCGGGAGAGAATGTAGAAAGCAACCGCGTGAAAATTAAGCTAATCGCTGACCGTGGGTTCTAAATTTTCAGCTTCACAGAGGAATTCATAATGTAATGAATGTTATTACAGAGAAGATTTACGTTTCTCGCCAAGATATGCATACTGGAATTTTCCATTATACGAAAGCTAATTGGAAAATCAACCATCCATTGTCCGAAATTATTAATAGAATTTAGATTAATTCATTTTAACTATTATCGTTTCAATAAAATAATATTCAAACTACGATACGGTGGCTAATGCAAATATTACGTTGCAATAAATGCTTGGTAAAAATATTTCAGATGGAAACTGAAAACTGAAACTCCGGCAAGCGTATTCGTTGAAAACAGAGAAAAAAAGTGAAAAGAATAACAGAAGGGAACGCAGAACGTTTCACGGGATGATTCAAACCCCGTGGCGCGGTTTTAATGTTTTTATCCCGGGGTAAGAACGAACGTGGCACTGCAAAATTTTATGGTAGCTAATTGTAAGCGATAGCGTCCGTGTGTAGCGTACCAGCAAGATTTATTCGAGCGATTTGCCGCGAGTTATCGTCTCGAAACACGAAAGCAAATCGCCGAGCTGAAGCGAAGGAGATGCCAGAAAGCCATTTACACTCTTTAGTCGTTTGACAATTTCCTGATAGGATCACGGAGCTTCACCTGGAGAATACCTGAGAATCTCGTGATTGCCTTTTGTCGGAATCGTTTGCACGAAAAACGTTCTCGGCGATCGTACAAACATCCCATGGGAAAGATTCCGCTAGCACAAGAAACAACAACATCGTACATCCGTAAAATATTCTGGCTGTTTCATGCAAATGTGCTTTCCAATGAAGTTAAACAATTCTACAGACGATTTTTATATATTATTTTAAGAAATATTTTTAAAAAAATTGAATAACCAGCAAGCAAAGGTCATTAAAATATAAATATATGCTCAAGTAATTTTAATATTTCTTCTTTCTACCATTACCATCAGTGTTGATGATTTAATTAATATCCATCTTATTAAAATATGTTACAAGAATTATCAGAAACATATTGCAATATTCGAGCATTTTATCATGCACCCTAGGTCAACGACCAGTGTTCCTTTACTAGCTGGTCACTTATGGGCTGTATAGCACCGCAGGTCTGAAATAAAGCAACCTCGTAACTGAGAACCGTCAAAAGTCTACAGAAATTTTAACAGTTCATTCGGAGAGAACAGCGCGTTTCCTGCGTATGGCTCCTTTAGAATTTTTTTATCCTCTTAACGAGTAGATCCTGTAAAAATTTCAACAGTTTATTCCAGGAGAACAGTGGGTTTGCTACATATGGCTCCTGTAGAACTTTTTTATCATCCCAACAAGTAGAATAGCTGAAGTTTAAAATAGAACTTTGGCCCCTAATTTCGCGCTTTTAATTAATTTCACGACTGGTTTTGGATGAAAACACGCATCCAACCGGATAAAATCGCTGCTATCTCGCGTGAAATTCATCGAATTTTAAAGGATACCGTAATAAAAAAGTAAGTAAAGCTTTCACTGACACAATTCAAGGCAATTTAACCACAGCCTTTTCATCGTAGCCTAATCGTGCAAGTTGCAGCTTGAAAACAAGAATGGTCGCTTCAATTTCTCTTCACGAACGTCTCCTCGACACTTCCGGTTTCCGTGAAAGGCAAAGGACTCTTGTTCGCGAGTGGTTGGCTTCGTCAGACCGCTATCGACGGGTTCGCGTGATCGACTCGAAGCGGAGAAAACAGTTTCGTGAGCGCTAATGGATTAAGGCGGAAAACGCAGTTAAGCCGAAACCAATCCCTTATCTCTCATCTCGTAAGTGTATTGCGGCCGTGCCACCGCGAGGCCGCCATTGTGAAATATCTTCCTTTTATTTTTTTATCCGGCCTTTTCCTTCGCAAAGCACGTATTCGTTCGCGTTCTCGAAATTCTCTCCTATCGTTCGACGTCTCCAGCCTTTATGTTGCATCAGCCCTTCGCTTTAACGTTTACCTTTGATCGCGCCTACCTATTCAAACTATTCGATTCCATCGCGATTTTCTGCACGCAATTCTGCTGAAGAAAGTTAACGTACCTCGGTTTTTCCCTTCGTCAAATAGATTGTAAAATTACTTTGTAATTCTATCCGTGTAATTTGTTCAAATCAACTGAAACTGTTATCAAACGTGGCAATTGGACACTTGAAACATTTCTTAAAATTTATAGGTACAGAATTAAATTCAGATTTAATGTCTTTTATAAATAGATAACGAGAATGTTTTAAGAATCATGTTACGTTAGTTTGCATGCTTTTTACAGAGCAGCACGAAGGAGAATGGCAAACAGATTTATCGCTTAGCCGCAAGAGGGTTTCTTCCGAGCGCAGTGGTATCAGTTGTAACATTTCTTAATAGGTAGTGATTAGCGAAGAGAAAAAAAGGTGAAGGATTTATCTGCGGGATTAATGAAGAATAATGAAAAATTAGAGGCTCGCAGGCGACTCTTATCTCGAACTTTTCCATCCTTTCGATCGAAGCCATTGAACTTGCCTTTTATGCGCGCAACAATGCACCAAAGGCTGCGTTGATCGATGGCGGTCGCGATATCATAATGACTAGCAACAACACAGGTAATTATTTTTCCTGATTGTCATTTTCTTAGATAAATAGTTTATGCCTCGACGTCGCCACTAATCAACCAGCCCGACACTGTTAACAGTTTAACGAACTAATAGAACAAAATTATTAATGAAACGTTCAAGTATCACAACGCTTCATGAATAAAAATAAATTTTGCAATCTATAATCTTTTCCACGTTAAAGAACCTCCTTGGGTGTCGCCAAATTTGCAACAAGTTTCCAAATTTCCTGTCTTGCATCCTGTTAAAACGAACCATCAATCATCCCGTGCTCACGAGAAACGTTTAGAAAGAAACGAGCCACATGTATCGCGAGTCGAATCAACGACGACAGTTTGGGGGTTAAATTGTCGTGTTACAACGGGGCCAGGTGTCCAGATTCAACGTCCCTTCCGTAACGATCCATTTTCATCAAGTTGCTCCTTTAATACCAACCAGCCCCGCCCAGGAGGGTAAGAAGTGAGCGAGAGGAAAAAAAGAATTAATAAATTCCGGCTCCAACGACACGTAACGACTGGCAGCCCTGGTCTAGGCAATTTTGCAGCTTTTGTATGCAGCTATTTCTCAAGAAAATTCGCAGTGACTCATTTTATGCTTTGGTTGCCTTTTATGAGTTTCTAGACCTTCCGTTGATCAATTTTATCTCGTTAAATTGGGTCTGAATGAAATTCTCGTAAACAAGGATACGTTACCGCATCTTGTTTCTACGGTAACGATGCTGTTCTAGCAAACAACCAAAACGTTTTTCCCAAACGATGGCATCAAACAATCGTTAGCATATTCATCGAGCATAGACACGAAGGACATCCCTCGAAACGTCCCATTCAAAGGAACTGCAGGAAAATAAGT